CGGGGGGTGGTTGCTGTTGACAGGGAGCAATTTCCGTGGAGTGGAATCATCTTGGATCGCTGATAATACAACGCTCGTACTTGGCCGGCGGTAATATCTATCTCATGAGACTTGCCAAGCGGGACCGCGGGGCATATGGGAAAGTCGGCACGTACACAGCCACTTTGTGCAAGTTGTAGCTGTTGAACAGCTTGATCGATTGGAGCCAAGTCTTGGCTGCTGAGGTCTCGACTCTTGACCTTGACAATCTGACTGTGGGCTCCGCTTGTCTTGTCTATCAAGTGCGGAAACTCCTACGGCCTTTTTGTATGATGTAGGGAATACCTTGGCCAGGCTGATGATGATGTTGCATATTCAGCCTCGGTTCAGCATGGCCAAGAACACCATGTCATCGTTTGGTCAGCTCGTAAACCCAACAGATATCATTCCGACGAAGGGGAATCCTTCAGTGACAGCTCCAACGCCCAAGGAGTTCAGACCTGGTCTTGGCAAACCTTGCAGGGCCTAGACTCATCAATCAACATTCTGTCCCTGAGCTCACCGACCCTGCAACAGTGGTCTCTCCTCCAAGGAGATTGGCCTCAAGCTTGCCCTTCATCACCTTAAATCGCCAACATCGCAGCTTAATCGGCTATGAGGAGCCGAGAGGCTTGCTTGGCGGTCGGCTGGACCGAAAGACCGTGGCGCAGCAGCTGCGAGCCCAGCAATGCGTTGAAAATTATGGGGCGCCTAGTCGCCTGGGCATCCCGCAATCAGAGACAGAGCTCCCTGTAGCTCCCTGTAACACTCGGGTCTTATTCAGTCAAGGGAGGTTAGGGCGGAAAACTCGACATGTGTATCCACCACCAGCTTCTGCCTGTAAGCAACGTTTCACAGGCAGCTTGTAATTTGAGCCTTTGCGTGAGATGGTCGGGTCGCTGTGAAATGCTGTAATTATTGTAAAGAGCTTCACGAAATTCTGGGTATGTTAAGCTTTGGAGCTTCTCTCGAAAAAAAGACCCATAAAGTCAACAGATCCGATAGAACAATGCAATGCACGAAGTCGTGATAGGGTTGCCATGGTTCAATATGTTTAAACATGACTGGCGCTAGCGTTCCTTGACATCGGCTGGATCTGCACCGTCAGGACATGGATCTTTTGCCAAGAAGTCAGTGCTTGGCCATCAACGCGCGTCCTGCTTGGCGAGTCAAACGGTACCTACATCAAGAAGAGCTCGAGTCTCATATGGGCTGGCTTTCGCCGCCATCATTGACGTAGCTTAGACTTTGGATCGGCATCCAGATGAACTGTATTTGCCAATATGACAGGAGGAAAGGTGAGTTCTGATCCTCATCTTGCTGGTGATTGTCGCCAGCTGGGTTCGTCCCGTTTTGCAGTGTACTTTGTCTGACACATTCCCCTGCAGAAGGAGGGCTCAACCAACCCGTCAGCTGTCCGGATTCGTGACAACCAACGACGGTCCCGTGCACGACACAAGGAGTATGTCGAAGGTCTGCAGAAGAAGCTTCAAGACTATGAGCGGCGAGGAGTTGAGGCGACGTTGGAGATGCAACAAGCAGCTCGTAGTGTTGCTGTCGAAAATTCACGCCTAAAAATCCTGCTAGGGTACCACGGTATCACTAACGAGGACGTTGAAAAGTTCTTGCAGAGCTTTCCAGATCAACCCGCTTCAGAAGCCGCCAAGGCAACGATTTCGCAGTCAACATCTGGCCAACCACTTCTTGTCGCAGCGCCCAAGATCCCTCTTCAACCTCTGCCAAGAGGACACTCAGCAGAACCTCCGAAGCCAACGTTACCGCCTCCCCATATCGCACCAGAGAAGACGAGTACTCGAGACGTGGTGGACGCCGTCGTAGGGATCAAGAGAGACGCTCGTAAAGCTGGTCTTCCCAGTGGACCAACACTTCCTTTACCAGTAGAGCAGCGTCAACCGATGTTGCAACCTCGACCTCAACCACCCATTCTGCCAGCGTTGCCAGCTCTCGTCCTCGGTCAGGGTAGGCCAGACCCCAATCCCCTCGATAAACTCTCAGTTCTTGCGACAGCGAGCGTACATCAAGAACCTGACAAGAATAAGCACCACCGCACGCATTCAAATGCCGATAGCCTTCGTGTACCGAGCCCGTCAATACTGGGGCAGAGTTCGCCAGCGTCGTCACGAACAACCCCTAGTCGAATAAGTTCGACATCTCCATGAAGCCAGAAGAGCGGATACAGCTGGAATACAGCACAACAAGTATCCATACCAACGTACATATTTGACAGCACAGTCCATCGAGAGGCGTTGAGTTGACCAAACAACAACATACAAGGTAGCTTTGCCTTTGCCTCGTTGCATGCATGGCCAGGCACTACCCGACACAAGCACAGGCTAACAAACTCCCCGACACCAGCCTCAATGTCCAGGGGGATGCACCAGTTTGATGTCAATGGTGCTCAATCCAGGACCAGAACCGAAAACAGAAGCAATGGATAATGCTGCCATCGAGCAGACGTTGCCCACGAATAGCCGCATTGGGAGAGTTTCGATACATGATTAACGATACAAGTCGCTGGCGAGATACGAAAGATACCGAGCTTTGGAGTTGGGATAGATTAGAATTGGTTTCAGGTTGACATTGTCGAGAAGAGTGATACCAAGGGTATTGATCAAATCCAGGGGAGGCTGTGAGTCTTGGCGATTGAAGTTGAAATCTTGTCGGGTATGGCGAACTCTGGGCGTGAGATGGTCGGGTATAAGTAGGGCTGTCTCTAGTCGCTCAGATGGGAGGCCGCCAGGTGGAGATATACCAGTAAGCTTGCAAGGGCGAAAGAGTCCAAGAAGGCGGGGAACATGGGTTAGCCGCGCGAGTTGGGGGGGCGTCTCTCGAAGGTCGTTGGAGGAAGGATTCTCAACATCTTGGTGTGTCGAGGCGAACACGAGACAGAAGCAACAATTAGCCACACGAATAAACGTCAAAGCAGCAGCACCTTCTTGCTCCAAGTGTGAATCTCATCGCCATGAGCGGCTTGTTGAGCGAAGCAACAAATCATAGAACCTTGACTGGACTTTGGTAAGATATCACAAACCCAGGGCACCGATTGAGCAGTTTTTTCCCCGTCAAGGGAGGCCAGAATAAACTTCTCAATATTCCCCTCGTTTAAGATATCGTACCTGAGACTTGCCTCGCAAAAGAAACCCCTTTCAGAGAAGTTCTCTTGTCGGCCACTGATATTGGAGTCCTCCCAAGCCGAGAGAACCGGGATCCAGTTGTTGATCCACACCGGCGTCATATTGACCCATAGAACGGCAAGGTTGTCGGAGGTTTGGAAATGAGATAAGATATGAAAGGATTGATAATCTCTCGGCCGAGTGGGATGAAGCAGAATTTGCTGTAGTCTGCTGCAATTTGCCGTTGTTGGTGGCTCGATTGGTGTGTGGTTTCCGCGGAATTGTCGAGGTTGGCAGGGGCGGAGCTGCAAGTGAACTAAAGGGGTATTGCCTGGTGCGCTCTGTGCTTAGGTGAAAGCTTGGCGAGAATGGTTGTAGCAGATCCAAGGTGAAGAAGGCCGGCGAGAAGATCAAGGAGGAGTAAGAATGAGTTGAAGAAGAGAAGTCGAGCAGAGAGCACAGTCAAGCAGGGAAAGGACATCCAGAAGGACGGGAAGTGGGCACGCGATCGCGTTCCTGCCACGATGGGGGCCAACCTGGAAATCTTGAATGACAAAGTCTCTCTTGAGCAAACAAGAGATACCTTAGAACTGAAGAGAGGTATACAATTGAAGAAGAAGGAAGCCAGATAGAAAAGTCGGTGATGTGGTCTTGAACGAGCCGCACTTGCAAGCATCAAATTCATGACGTCGTGGGAGCATACCAATCGGCACACGCCGGTGACAGTCACCGTAGCTTCAGGCCCTGCCAGGGACCGGAAAGTGGGTGCTAACCCCTGTAAGCCACCGTAACGATCGTCATCTCATGCGTTGACAAGGGGGTCAAGACTCCGTGGGTGAAATTTTGGTGCATGATTGGTGGACTCGCTCGGGGACTCGCTTGGTTCAAATAAGCTTAATCGTCTCAAGGTGTGGCTTTCGGGTTGTTATCCGGGCAAGGTTGGAGGGTTCTTGGCCTTATTTCGTTGTGAAGGGTTGGAGATGAGGAGAGCTTTGTGCAGTTGTTGCGTCGTTCAGTTGGGTTGAAGAGAGAGATTTGTTCGTGTAAGTCAAGGCCAACAACAGAACAGGCACTCGCACGACTGTTGGTCGTTATTGTAGCAGCCATGAAGTGAATCAGGCTGCTTGGAATTGGACAGACCAACGAACCAAAGGCCTTCGAAATCTCACTCGCAACGGTTTCGCGGGAGGGTTCGAAGTTTAAATGTTGGTGAGGGCTAAGATGGCCGCGCGGCCTCGCCAACGAGTTGGTTCCATAATTGGTGGTGGCAGTGCACCCAACCTACTAACTTGATCCTATCCAACGTCACTCGTCCGCGGGAGCTTTACTTGTAGTAGAAAGGCCCTGAAAAAAAGTAACGAGATATGCTTCAAAGAAGAGCCACGCCAATTGCGTAGCTGTGCTTGGTGGCTGTACAGCTGGAGTTGAAGTGATTTGGGATTTGAGGTTATTACCGACCCCAGAAACATCAAGCAAAGTAGTCAAAGTGAGTGCAGATGAACAGATGGACTGTGGCTCCCGTCTCTGTTCAATTCTTGGTATTCAGGTAGGTGCTTAACCGGGGCAGTGCCTTACAATCCAATCTCGTAGTATGGATGTTCTCTCCTTGAGGCAGCGCCTAAACCGTCTTCATCTTCCTTCCTTGCCAGGTTAAGGTAGACGTCTAGCTTTCCAACACTGAGCTCATGAGAACACTTCCATCACACATCATCCATCATCAATCCATCCATCTTACATCAAACATCAAACATCACCCATCATCAATCCATCCATCTTACATCAACCACATCAATAATCCCCATCACATTCTACCCAAACACATCTATTTTCTACCCTCTTATCACAATCATGGAAGTCTTTCCGGGGCTTAAAGACCTTATACCATGGCTCATTGATGACAACCCAAACTACCGCCTGACCTTTGCTCATATCGAGGGGTCTCCAGGCTCAGGCAAGGCAATCAAATTACCAAGGCAAATCCTCGATTCGCGTGAAATTCTTGATCGTCACCGTACCACTATTGTTCAAGTTCTTCCCGGCTTCAAGAGGAATGCAGTGGTCCAAGGTCAAGGGTCTTGGTCCCCGGACCATAAACTCAAGAAAGGCCAGTATCAACCAGTGCTGAAGGTTCAGACATACCGCGAAATATTAGAATATCTCAAGATCGGCTACCGGGAAAAGAAATAGGAGAAAATGCCCCATAGGTCAGGTCGTATAATCTTTCTCCTTGAGGCTGACCCTGACTATTCGGCGGATTATGCCATAGCATTGGCTGCCATCACGACATTCGCCCTGCAAAAAGCAAAAAACCAAAAAACTGTGCATATGAAGGTGGCAACTTTATCATGGGAACCAATCCACCCAGTCACGAGACGGCTGTTTCAGACATACCTTGGTGCACTTGGCACCTGGGGGAGTATTTCCGAATTCTTGCTTTCAAAATCTGAACCCTTGCCAGCAAACCCTGTAGTTCTCAACGACATACCCTCGGATCTGCTGAAGTATGGTACAGTGTCTAATGACACTGGGAGTCTATGCCTGCGTTTTCGGGACGCAATGCTTGATGCTGAGGACCAGGATGAACGGAACACTGAGCCATCACAATGGGATCCTTGGATCACAGCATCCACCTCAAAGGGGAACTATACTACGATGCCATCAGCTTTGAAAGACCCCGGAGTCGAGCTACAAATGCTTCATCTGAATGCAGACTTCAGATTAGCAGAACGCTTGCCCTCCTACTACACTCTCAACATTTTTGCGAGTCCTACGGTCCCTCGACTCATCTTCGATCGCCGCTCTGGTCAGTTACTGCATACATTTCTGTGGATCTCAGAATCGGAAGAACTTCAGCAGTTGTCTTGGCGTTCCCGGATTCAGAGTTATCATCCTCACGATGTTCTGTGCCTTGATCACTTCACCAAGCATCGCGCGAAAGAACGACGATTGAAAATCCGAAATGAACACGCCGAAGGGTTCTTCGCTGCCCTCCTAGGTTATAATGACTGGCCTCCGAGCATTTGGGACTTGTTTAGAGTTGTTCGACAGATAGATGATGTTATAAAGCTTGTTCATGATCGCTTTCTCTTCTCAGGACTTGCGCTAAACACAGGAGACATATCCGAACTTCCCAGATTACCACCAAGACCAATGAACGCCAACGTACTCTATGCTATCTTGCCACAGGTCAATTACGACTCGCGTGTCGCTCATTTCCTCAGCGTTCATACAAACTCCTTGATCGTCATGCTAAAGGTACACCTTGCCCCGATGTTAGCAGCAGCAAATGAACCTTTGGAACTGCTCCATATCCAGAAATTTGACTCGGAAAGCAAGATAGAAATCGAAGAATGCTTAATCGAATGCTCCCAGGTATGCGACGCCGGCGAGTGGGTACGGCGCAGCACTCTATGGGCAACCATAGGGCTAGGGGGCATGATTGATGCCGATGACGACGACGTACCGTTCCCTCGTGTCACTACTTCTTTGGCTGATGGTAGCATTCGGGTTCTCACGGCTGTATCCGCATGGTTGTCGGGATGCAGTCGGAACATCGACAGAATCCTACGCGCGAACAAAATGGAAGTGGAGGAATTGAACGACTTTCAAGAATGTGTGAATGAGGACAACTACAAAGAGATATCCCGAGACCTGCTGCGCGCATATTTTCACCAAGTGGCTTTTGCAGCCAAGCCCAGAAATAAATTGAAAGAGGGAGAGCTGCCCAAGCTGTACGACTTTATGACCAGGAAACCTTTCCAACCAAATCTAAATCTTGCAGTGATCGATTGGAACTACCTCTTCAGTCAACAAAAGAAGGTACATGGTGTTTATACGCATTTGAAGCGCTTGGGAGACGGAGGGACCACTGTTTGTAACTGGACTTGGATTCCGGATGTAGTATGGGACGAATTCGAAATGGAACTGGAAAAGTTCCGGGCGATGCATCCACTTGGGGATACGAAGAATAGCGATGAGTTTTGGCAAACTAGACTTTGAACCACAAGGCTCAGAGAGGGAAATGGGGTATTATTTAATCACCAGAAGCTGTAGAACAGAGAATACCGTAATATAACTTTAGTGCTCTTTGATCATCCTCAAGTTTCGTTGTCGTGGAGCGTGCAGTTATTGTCAAGGTCACTCTTAAACCTAAGGTCATTCCCAAGACCAAAATGCGGCAGATGGTGAGGCACGAACTGGATGTGAACGTTAGAAGGGCGTCTCCAAAGATGGAGAGAAGCATGCGGTCTTGTGATTCGAGATCAAGCGTAGTGATTTCGCTGCGAGGCTGGGTAACAAGATGGACGAAGTACAGGAAGCATCTTCAAGGGCTTGTCCTTTTCCAAGGATCTTTGGGCTCCTGACCTTGGTATCTGTTCACGAGAACAGCCCACGAAGCTGAAGTGAGAGGAAGAACTGTTTTTCTTGAGAGTTCATTGTTCTCGTCTACGCAGCTTAACCAGACGTAATGAATCGTATTTCACGGTTTCTATTGTTGCTGCAGAGATTTGCTGGGCGGCTGCGTGCCAGTTGCGAGCTCTAGAACGGGGGTTTTGTGGGAGAGTCACCGAGCTCCTGAACAATAGGGCGAGTTCCCCTACTTCAACTACCGCCGCACAACATCCCTTTTCCTCTTTTCACACTCAAAACTTGGAAACCGCAAAGACAAAGCAAGCCAGCCTGATAGTAACTTCTTCAAGAATCCCAAGTCTTATCCTTTCTTCGCCAACATGCCTCACCCCCGTATCCCCGGATTCGCCGCCATGAAGCGTGCTGACCAAGGCGCCACCCGCCCCGAGCCTGAGAACAAGGGAATTACTCTTGTTGAGAGTTTGACACTTCGTGGTGTCGCGGCAGAAAACATATCTGGCCTCAGACTTGTGAACAACTCTCCTGGTGGCGGGCGCCAGGAGAACGTCGTCGCCAAAGTCCCTGGTCTCGCGGGGACCTATGCTGCCCTCATAGATAACCACGAGAGTCTGATGGAGGCATATAGAATGCTCCCACGAGGCAGAATCAGCGTGATCTTTGCTGTGCCCCCGAACGGGTCGGGGGTGAGCATGACCTCCACCGAGATTCCGTGGTCGGTTCTCAAGGCCGGAGAGGACGAAGCCGCCGCCACACCAGACACATCAGAGAACGAGGAAACCGATGCTGCCCAAGCGCTCGACGACGACGAGACTGTGTTTGGTGATGACGAGACCGTCGTCGGAGAGGATCACAGCCCTAAGAAGGGGACTCGTGAAGAGGATACCGAAACTCCCCCTCAGCCCACCACCACCGCCGCCGCACCCGCGACCGAACAGGAGGTGCCCTACCCAGACTTGCTGGGTTTGATCATTTAATTTCATGGTTAGTGAAGCCTTGAGCGAGAGTTGGAGCAGTTACTGACATTCTACAGGCCATGAACGCAGAGTGTGCACACCAGCGCACGCAGGTCCACGATCCGACACGAAGAGTAAGTGCCTTCGAACCTCCGACTGCTTTGCTTGATACTGACTGTTGAGTTTCAAGGACCCATAAACCGCGATGATTCCTTCCATAGGTAGCATTGGATGATTGACCGCCGCGAGTGCTCTTGCTGGAGATAGACATGAGCCCAGAATACACCTTCTCTTTCTTGCCCGTAACCATATCCCATCGTCGAGTCCGACTTTCCTTTTCTGATTCCCATTTGCTTCCACATCACTCTTGAGGCAAGAGTGAGCTGCGCTCTCCGTGACACGAGTACTTTAGAACCATCATCCGTCTTCTCCTTAGCCAAAACATCAACCAAACATCATTCTCTTCTTGACCCCATCATCATCACATCAACAAGTTTACACATCTCATCACAACAACACTTTCTTTATCATCACAGAAATACCATCACAGAAATACCATCAAAATGGTCTGCTTCTCAAAAGTCTTTTGCCCCTGCTTCTCCAGAAGAAGTCGTGCCGGGTCAAGCCGTGGCGGATCATCCGTGAGCGACAGGCCAAGCTCGGAACGAAGGCTCGGCAACGGGCAGCCAGAGGCTCAGGGGGGCGGCGAGCCTCAGCGAGAGGTCGAGCTGCAAAACCGAGATGCTGCTGAGCAGCCACAGGCTCCCCGAATCGGCCCTCAGCCAGCCGATAGTATGGTGTCATTCCCCCGACTCGATGAAAGCCCGGACGGCGACAACCCTTCAAACGATGTCTCTCGACAAGATACCCCTCAGCGTGACACCGGCATTGCTCCACAGGCCAACGACACTCAGACGAATATCGGAGGCCCTTCAAATAATGTCTCGCAGCAAGGTGCCCCTCAGCATGGCACCCCTAAACCACGCAGCAGACGAGAGTCTCGCAGCACCGCAGCAGTTCCATGCGTTTCTTTAACATTACGTGATCTTCTGGACCACCCCAGAAGTTCTTCAGCTAGTGCTCCGCAAGCCAACGACACTCAGACAAATCCCGGCAGCCCTTCAAATGATGTGGAAAGCCCCAGCAGTTCTTCAGATGGTATTAATAGCAGTTCTTCAGATGATTCGGAAAGCTCCAGAAGTTCTTCACATGGTGATTCTCAGGCGACTAGCTGCAAACCTCCAGATGATGAGGGAGGTAACACCGGTTCTTCAGATGGTGCTCCGCCGGTCATCAACACTCAGACAAATGTCAGCAACCCTTCAGATAATATCTATCAGCAAGGCGCCCCTCAGCATATCACCCCAAAGCCACGTATCAAAGGAGGGCCACGCAGAACGGCAGCGGGTTCATTGACCCCAGGCGGAGATCTACTAGGTGGATTTCTGAACAGCGTCAGCGGTTCTTCAGATAGTGCTCCGCAGGTCATCAACACTCAGACGAATGTCAGCAACCCTTCAGATAATATCTCTCAGCAAGGCGCCACGAAGCAAGGCGCCACGAAGCAAGGCGCCACGAAGCAAGGCGCCACGAAGCATGGCACCCCGAAGCCACGCAGCAGACGAGGGTCACGCAGCATCGCAGCGGGTTCAGTGGCTACATGCAAAGATCTCTTGGGTGGATTTCTGAACAGTGTCAGCAGTTCTTCGGATGGTGCTCCGCCGGTCATCAACACTCAGACAAATGTCAGTAACCCTTCAGATAATATCTCTCAGCAAGGCGCCCCTCAACAAGGCGCCCCTCAGAATGGCACCCCGAAGCCACGCAGCAGACGAGGGTCACGCAGCATCGCAGTGGGTTCAGTGGCTACATGCAAAGATCTTTTGGGTGGATTTCTGGACAGCGTCAGCGGTTCTTCACATGGTGATCCTCAGGCTAATGGCTGTAACCCTTCAAATGACGTGGAAAGTGCCAGCGGTTCTACAGATGGTGCTCCGCAGGTCATCAACACTCAGACGAATAGGGCCCAGAATAGCAGTGGTTCGAAACGCGGCCAAGATCCGATTATCTCCGAGAAAGAAAGAGAGATCCTAGGCCTTTTGAATCTACTCCATTGATACTCTGAAGACCAGAATGATGACAATCATCCGAATGCGATTCCGCAGTCCAACAATACTCATACCAACATGGTACTTCAGGTCACCCAGGCCAGTGGCATGATGGGCATTCGGGCAAGGTATTGATTGGATTCATTTGGGCTTTCTTGTACTGGTCATTGCTACAAGCATGTTTTGCGTTACGTTTCTTTATCGTGCCTTCGTTTGAGGGTTGGCGGATTTATGTCCATGGCTTTGCTAAGTGGAAGGAGAGTTGAGCGAAGCAATCACAACAGCGAGCCTAATAGCGATTTAATCACAAGAGTTAATTTGGAACTTGATCAAAGTCTTGCTCTATCATTAGTGATGTCCAGAACGTACCTAGGGTCAGCAATGAAGATTGGTCCGAGGATCTATGTTGCTGAAAATGCCACCCTCGAATTTACACGACAGTCTTTACTCTGGCGACAGCTTGCATCTGATACGTTCAAGTTGTTTTGGCCACTTGCACGAGGGCAAGACACCCTTTTTCTGTGTAGTTGGTATGCTGCCTGAAATGTGTATTCAAGCGTATTGTTTTGAGTTGATGAGTCCGACAGCTGATGCTTGCGCTGCCCACCTTACCTCGACATGTTTTGGCGTACATAATTATGAGAAGACCCTTGATTCTCTCAAGCTTCTCTCATTCTGTCCAAGAGACTCCAAGTAGATTGTGCTCTCAGATGCAGTATACCCTTCACCATCCGTCTTCAAGCCCGCCACTTCATAAATCAGTATCAGCCTTGCAAACAGAGCGCTCCCCATTAATCTGATCACAATTATCGCAGAGTCCCTCACACTGATGAACACCAAACTCGAAAGGATAAGTGTTCCGAAGAGTGCTTGGAGACAATCGCCTACGTACAGCGCTGAAGCGAGAGTGAGGAACCAGCCTGTGTGTCGTCCGCTGTCTTTGACGTGAAGTTTTGGCTGCCATGCTGTTGGTGTGAATTCCGACCGTAGCCTTCCTCGATCATCCCATGCGCTTTTTGCGTCGGCGGTGATTTTTAATCGTGCGACGATGTATCCGAATAGATGGATTGCGAGGGCTAACGCGGTCCAGATGGCGGGGAGGAAGTCTTCGGCTGGGGCGAATGTGCATACTGCTTGGAGGCAGAGTTGGTATGTGAGATATGCATTGTTTGCGACTGATGCAGCGGCGATGAAGTACTCTGCCAGCGACACGATCCTCTTCGCGCCAGCAAAACGCGGTACACCAAAGGTCGTGGACGAGTCCGCTTCCATCTTGGCGATAAAGTCATCATAGTCCGACGCCGTAAGCGGCTTCACCCCAGAACTACACATCGCCAACAACACCGCCAATCCCGGTCTTCGAAACGCCAGTATCGCAGTATCAAGGTACGAAGCACTCAAGAGCTGAAGCACAGATGGAGCGAGACCAAGGATTACAGCTGCAGAAGCTAGCTCTGCTTTTCTGAACTCAGGCATGGTGGTGAGGATACAGTCGATGACGCGGTAGCCTGGACGAAGGGCGGGGCTGGATATGTTGAGGTAGTCTTGTATTTCGGAGGAGCAGTTGTTTTTGAGTTGGTCTTGCAGTAGGGGTTGCCATGCTGGGAAGAATTGGCGGAATTGGGCGTTTGAGCGGCGGAGGGCTGTTGTTGGTGGGATGAAGAGGATGATGGAGAGGATGAAGTTTAGGCTGCATAGCCTTGGTGGAGGAGCGATCATCTTGGCTGAGGTCGAGATGATAGCTCGTCACAGTCGAGTGATGCATTATGGGAATAACAGGGCTTCAAGAACAGGGAAGACCGTACTTTATGACTGCTCAGTCCATGCTAAAGATCCCAATCCTTCAGCTTCAGCCTCAAATCCTTCCCGTTTCACAGGATCAATAGCAAGCCCAATGATCCGGTCAAAGACAGACAGGCCCCTCGGGGGGCAAGAAAACAGCGAACCCTGATATGGGGTGCCAAAATAAACTCTTTAAAATCTATCCTAAACTTAGACTATATTACCTAAGTCTTTTTGTCATTTAGGATCGAGGTTCTGCGTTTTCTTTCCTCCTCTAGAGGCCATCTTCAGCCGCCAGCCTTATTCAGATTTGGCAGTTATGATAGGCGGCCTCAATCTGACGGATGTGACTGTCGTGCATATCACATGCAGGATATGAGACATGGGATGGAAACGGGTTTATTTTTGGAATGCTAGATTTGTGCTGACCTGGGAGTATTCGAACCATACATTAGGAACGACGATGAACTCTCTGGCGTGAATCACAACACGATCAAGTGGAATAAGAAGCTTGAAAAGACTTTGAGATTACTAAACAAACATACATCTCGGATTACGGCTTAATTCTGACGAGTTATAGTCGTTACAAGCTCTTCATATCAGCGATGTAACTGCCTTGTACTGTCGCATCATACATGCTGCCCTGAATTCCGAAGAAATACCAAGTAGAAAAGGGTGATATTACTTTGCAGTTTCTCACAAAATAGACATGTGGAAATTCCAAAACTATCTCGCAGCAACCATGAAAACCCGAGGTCTTGCAGCAAGCGAAAAGCCAGATGTGTATCCTAGCGATGAATTTGCCGCAGAAGCAATCGATATACCCGTTGAATTTCTGGGAGCTCTTTGTAAATCTGGGTAAGTTATTCCTTTCTTTGTTGAAGGGAGTTCTGACGACGCAGGGGTCATTTTACCAGAGTATTGGGTGGGAACCAGAGTGGAATAGGGGGCACTTTTTGAAGAATGTAGATGCTGAGATTGGAGATGTTCTGGAGTTGGGGAAGGCCAAGAGTGGTTTGATTGATTCTTTGTTTGTTGCTGTCGGGAGGGCACGGTGGTATTTCCCATCATTGAAAACACATTCGTGTGGTGAACAGCTCTCTCTATATAAGAATTTTTAAAAATGTCAGATAACTAAGAATCCCATAGCAAAGTCTGTAGGCATCATGATCACCATCTCCCAAGGCTACTATTCTTGCTCAACGACAAACCCTTCCCTTGAACACCGACAGGAAAGTATAAAGCACCAGACTTCACATCAGGACTAATCGCTGTCCATACTCACTACTATTTATTCATCTTAGGAGAATATGATTTTGATATAGAGTTTAAGACAACATGTAGGCCAGTTGGTAACATCTAGTTCCATTCCTATTCGACAAACGGAACCAACGCTAGAGCTGCTTCGAGCTAGCCATCTGGTCCCTCATACGAACTCCCACCTCCACACGGCGGCCTAGTTGATGCGCCGGTACCGACATGAGCCTACGCGTCTATTCTATTAGAGTTGCAGCTACCGGTTCGTTCAAGTTAGAGCATCGCACATCGGAACAAGTAAAAGTGCGAGGGAGAGACTGAAAAGCTACGATAACACCCTGACATACGAATATCATATCTCTTGTCACGTTAGCAGCTATTCTAAAAAACAAGTTCGAGACTTGGAAATCCGATAGCTCCGAGCTCTACTCTGGCAGCAATGTCGATGAGGCGTGTTCATTACAAGGATAAAGAATCATTTTCATGTCTTTGTCACGCTAGAAGCTATTTTAGAAAAGTTCGAGACTTGGAAATCCGATAACTCCGAGCTTTACTGTAGCAGTAATATCGATGAGACGTGTTTACTACAAGTATAAAGAACCATTCTCATATCTCCTTTACCAGAATTTCCCTTACAGCACTATCAAGCATCAACAATCAGCATTCACCAAGTCACCTGTCATTCAGAAATCACACGCCAAGAGTATTTCAAGATCTCGCCAGAACCAGAAAACAATGTCTCAGAACCGTGGAGCCGTCAACCCTGCAGCCCGAGCCCCCCTCGAGGTCAGGCCACTGGATACACGAACCCCAGGACCTGGCGATATCCTCGTCAAAAACGAAATAATCGCCATCAACCCAGTCGAAGTCAGCATCACCAAGAACGATCTTTTCAAATCCAAGTACCCCTGTGTAATCGGTACTTCTTTCGGTGGTGAAGTCGTCGCTGTTGGCGAGGGTGTATCCGATTTCAAGGTTGGAGACAAAGTCGCCGCCTATTCCAGTCCAACCGATGGCGATAAATATGCTGCCTACCAAGCCTACGCACTGGCCAAGGTTGACAAGACCATTCTCGTCCCTGAGGCCGTTGATCTGGCTGTTCCTGTGAGCATGAACGGGAACCTTACTACTGTCGTCGGCATGATCAGCGCCACAGCCGGTGTGCCCAAGCCAGACATCGAGAACGAAGTAGCACCTACTGGCAAGAAGATCCTCATCTACGGAGGGACTTCTAACCTGGGTAGCTTGGCTGTACAGTATGTTCGCCGGGCAGGCTACAGCGTAGTCACCACTACTTCGCCCAAGCACAAGGCCTTTGTTGAGGCTCTCGGCGCCGACAAGGTCATCGACCACAATCAGGATCGTGACACTCTCGTCAAGGCTTTCATTGCAGAGGGACCATATGATATCGTCGTTGATACCATCTCCCATCCCAACACTTCAGCATACTCGCCGATGTTCTAGCTGCTCAGGGCGGTGGTATAGTGTATGCTACCAGGCCCGCATTTGGCCCGGAGACACTGCCAGAAGGTGTGGTCCGCCACTTTGCTTCATGGTCATCTGTGCTGTATAAGGAGGGAAATGAGCATTTCACCAGATGGGCTTTTCATGAGTTCTTTGCCAAGGGCATTGCGAGTGGCAAGCTCGTGCCGACAAAGATTGAGAGGCTTAGTGGTGGGCTTGAGGCGATCAATTCTGCTTTGGATATCTTGGAGAAGGGAATTAGCAATTCCAAGGTTGTTGTTGAGCTGGAGAAGTGAGAAGAGGTGGATTATTGGACGATTTTGATAGACTAGAAACAGTTGTAGATGATAGTAATGGGAAATAGACTAGTGTTGCAGATAAGGATTTATCAAACTCAAAATAGGACGAATAGTTATAGTGAAACTTTATACCCTTGGTTTGAAACAGACAGCCATGGCTTTTGCTAACCGCTCACCATCGCTTGTAACCTTGACAGAGTGTCATACACGTTCCTCTCCTCTGCCTACCTGTGGCGGTATGGATTCAGAGTCTGCAATAGAGGGAAGACAGTTGGTAAGGGCAAGAAAATCACAACGAGTGCTAGTCAGTACAGCTCACCTATAAGCTCCCTGTTCTTTTTTTGGAAGAATTATTTGAAGCTGGAAAGGAAATTTTGATGTTGGTATTAAAGCCTTATAGAGTGAAACTGCCTCAATTTACACGGGATGTGGGAGATCATCATTTAGTTCGGGACTAGCGGTTGGCATTGGATTTGACCTAACACGGTATTTTAAAGCATGGGCTTAAAGGATAGAGAGATGCTAGTATATCTCGACTCAGTTTAGACTGGCAGATCTTTGAATAAGAATAAACATAATCTCCAATAAATCCATATAGATAGAGGGTAAACAGACCAACAAAGCGTAGACCAAGATCTCGATATGACCCCGAGACACCATATCACGCTACCACTTGCATCCCAATATAGATGAAAAAGGAAATTCTCACCACTATGCTCCGGACCTCCGAAACTTACTTAACTCAAGTCAACTACGATCCAATCGTTCTTATCCTTGTATACGAGACGGTTATTCTAGAATACGCGGCTTGACTTCTATTGCTGGGGAAATTTAATCTTGAGTCATGATTGGTGGAACATCTGACTAGATCGTTCGGTAGTCGGCACTTATGGGGCTATAACTTACCAGATATGATCATATCGTCCGAATAGGAGTTTCAGGTCAAACACGCAGCCAATCTCCGAAGCACGGATACCTTTGGGAGAAACATTATAAAGAAGCCGCCAAGGCTATGTCTACTCTTCAATTTCATCTCTAGTCCATTCAATTCAGCCCTACAGTTTCAGTTTCATACATTCCTTTCACCATGAAGTTCTTTACTGCTTTCTCTGCCCTTTTGGCCGTGGCTTCCGCTACACCTACTACTTCCCCTTCAAAGACCCTTGATAAACGAGCTACCACCTGGTGTGATGCTTTCGGGTCTCTTCAAACTGAAGGATACACCGTTTACCACAACAACTGGGGCAGTGGCCAGGCTACATCTGGTTCTCAGTGCACGACCTTCAACTCCGTCAAGAACAAGTCCTTCTCGTGGTCTACCAAATGGAGCTGGGCCGGTGGAGACATCCACGTCAAGAGCTACTCCAACGTCGCCCTCGAGAACATCAACAAGAAGGTCTCAGCCATCAAGTCCATTCCTACAAAGTGGACATGGCGCTACAGCGGAACTAACATGGTCTCCGATGTCTCCTACGATCTGTGGCTTGCTCCCTCCGTTGGCGCTGCTAACAAGTACGAGATCATGATCTGGGTTGGAACCTACGGCGGTGCTGGACCTATCTCTGACTCTGGCTCTACGCCCCTTGCGACGCTGACCATCAACGGTGCGCAGTGGAAGCTGTTCCGTGGGCCTAATGGCGATACTACTGTTTACTCTTTCGTCGCTACCAAGAACCAGGGCAACTTTGAGGGCGATCTTCTTCCTTTCCTTACGTACCTTACCAAGAGCCAGGGTGTTCCTAGCAGCTATGTTGCTACTAGCTTCCAGGCTGGTACTGAGCCTTTCGTCGGTAAGTTTTGTTCCATGTGTGGAATTGGTCTGAAGCTAATGTGTCAGGTTCAAACTGTGTCTTTTCTACCTCTGCCTACAGCCTCTCTGTCAACTAAACTGTCTGCAGTGCAGATTAGCTGGCTAGTCTTTTCTTGTACTATAAATATTTTCATTGTATATAACCTGAAATCTGTCTGTCACAACTCAATACTTCTGAAGGAAGATTCTCTTATTTGTCTGTCTAAACTGCTATGAAATCTCGGAACGCCTGTGATCATCGAATATCAATGGCCTCAATCGCAACCTCTCCCTTCTCGAGTAATTTCGAGACCTCGCCACTCATCAGACCTATCATAAAGCAACATCCAACAAAAAGATAGTGGTCCCCCTCAGGACGGAGAACCGCAAGCTCGCTGAAGCCTGTAAGTACACAGACCACATCTCCAAGCCGCACATCGTCGGGCATTGTGCCAATATAACCATCTTTTGTTGTGAATAGGCGGTTTCCATTCTGGCTTCTCTTCGCATTCCTCCATCCACATAGTATTGAACCTAAGTCATAGTTGTGAAGCAAAAGTCTTTCCAGTCCATCCATTGAAAGCAGATTACATTGTCCTGAATGCCTAAGCCAGATGCATACTTGGTGCATATAGTCATCGCATGCTTCTTTTCCAAGTAAGGTGCAGCATATTATCTCCAATACACTTTTTCCGTTGCGATATGCTTCCCCCAGCCGGCTTTTCAAAGTGATGATACACTTTGTCAACCGGGTTTCCAGGAGCTCGGGAGAGACAATCTCGTCATAAACATAGTCCACAGATTGAGCTTTGATGCCTTCGATCCGTAGAGTTAGACCATCGTCGAGAATCTTTATAGGCAGACGGTTCACAAGCTCAGGTACTGTTCCATTTGCGGAGCGACGCTCTGTGGGTTCTCTGACTATTGGTGTTCGCCTGTCAGCCTCCGAGAACACCGGTGCCCAGCTTGGGAGACCGTAGAGGCGTTTGACACCAACAGCATGACTGTTGAAGATGTTGGAGATATCATAGCGCCACTTATCTCCATATACAACCTCCCAGTTTCTTTTTACTGCCGTTTCGTGTATCTCCTTCCATAGAGGTAAAACCCATGCCATAAAATCTAGGCTGACTTGCCGAAAGTCCTTGGTATAATCAGGGACAATGGAGGATTTGGCGACAGACAGAAGGCCATAAATATAGTCCCGGTTATCAGTGGCATTTGCATTGGTACACAAATGTATTGCCAAACGCCACATCTCAGACCGAGGTAGGTCACCAATGCTACCTTGGAACGACTCACGTGTGCAGAAGAGCTCGTATGGCCTTTGAAAGACATATTTGTAAATTCTGGCCTTGAATCGTCGCCCGGGATCTTCAGTCGTCTCATTCGTGGTTTGCAAGTAAATATATAGTTCAGAGAGTGCCGCGATGCAACCTAAATGTTCTTTTCGGTGGGAAGGGGACAGAAGATACAGTCTTTTCGCGAGTATTACCTCCTGATGAATCCACGCTCTACTCCAAAACGGAAGTTGGCAGAAATTGAAAACTGCAACAAAAGGCTCTGCGGGGTGTAGAGTATCAACATCTTCAGTATTGAAAAGACTGCAATATGGTGGGAAGAGCCACGAGAACCTTTCCGCGCCCCAATGAATCGGGCCACCGATAATGTGAGCAAATTGAATTCCTGCGAATTCGGGAAAAAGCTCCTCCGGTAGAGATATGCCTTGGCGCATCTGGTTTATCTTGTCGAACACGTCAAAACCTTCGCTAACAACTTTATCACTAGAAGAAAGCCAGGCCAGAACCATGGCTGCCAAGGAGTATATATCCGCCATCATGCTGACTTGGTGCAGTCTTTCGGCAAGGTCACTTTGGTTGATACAGAGTGCATCAGCCCACAAGCGGAACTTGGAGGTGTCGAGTTCAGCATCTGACTTTCGTTCAATATCAATCCAGTGCTTCTTCACATGCCGAAGGGCAGTGGCAAGGGTGACGGTAACTTGTCGTGAGACGCCATCAACAATGATCTCATCCGTGACGCTGGGGTCGCCCCATACGTAAGAGAGGCAGGTGTAGTGAAGATCTCGTGTAAGAAGGACAGTGTGGAGTTTGCAGTTGACTTTGCCGTCAGGAGTGTTGGGGAGGATCTCGAGAAGGCGTATCTCTCGTTTATCCTTGTTGAGGGGTTGAGAGAGAGGCGGAGATGAGCCCGCGTCTTTGCTGGAGGACGCCATCTGGTCAAAACTGATCAACAACAGGTGAGATTGACTTGCAGTTGATGAGGTTGATGAAGAATGAACAATTCTGCATCACCCGAGAGAGACTTTATATAGTTATTCTGGGTTACACGCAAGGCTGCAACTTCTCAGATTGTTTTCTATGTGACAGAAGGATTATGTTTCATTTGGTAAAGTGTAGCCTGTATAAACACAAAGCTATCAAGCAAGGAGGAAGCAGAGAGGAGCAAGAGGCAGAGAGGCGCAAGAGGCAGATAGAAGGTTTCATGGTACTTTTGTCTAAGCACTTTCATGATTGAGAAACGGCTTGGGCTAATCTTTAGATGTTGATTGATTTAAAAGCTTCATCTCAAACAAGCTTGTCAATTGAATGATTGACAATTTCTCTTGCTCTCAACACTCTAATCGGTTGATTTCAGGCTTCTCAGCCAATCTTCTGCAACCTACCTGAATCCAAAGCTTTCGAAAGAAACAAATGAATTGCTGTCTAGGCAGAGGTTTGGCTTGTTTTCAAGCTTGGCATGGAACTTTCCGTAAATAAATCAAAACGTCAGAAAGTGGAATCAGATGAAATCTCAAGGACACTAGAGTTAGACTTTTCTCAATTTAGAGGAAACAGCAAAGTAAACAGCTCATTGAATAAGAAGAGTGAATGAGAGGAAATCTGTTGATGATTGTTCTGCGGATCTCTCGGTGTGTTGATGGCTATTCTTGATTGTGTCTCAAACTTCTAGCATATTTTATGATTCCAGATTGTCTACAAAGTCGATCCGAATACATTTTGATCTTCCTGGTTCTGTTTTGGTGATCGGCAATTCAGAAAACAGTACAGTGCCAAACATGAAGTACTCGTGAGTCTTCAGAGTTTCACCTCGACAAACACAGTGATTCAGCGTCGCACAGAAAATATTGCCCCAAACTGGATAAAACCTAAGGCCTCACTTTGCTGAGAGACAGATTGTTTCGGCCAAGCACTTGTGGCAAGCTAAACAGAATTTTCTGCCAAATATTGAGCCCAAGCCAATAGCTCAGCGGCCAAGACGCGTCGCATAAACTCAATACCGATCGGCCAACATGATTGATGGATCAGATAAGATTAGACAATGGACCGACGCTAAGGCAACACTGGAATGCTCTACCTGAGACTGTGTCTAGTGGCTTGAGTACTAAAGAAAAACTCAATGGCACGCCAAGAAACGTATTACCCAACGTCCAAGCTTAGTCCAACCGAGGAACCGACATCATCCGACATCGCAAGAACAACAAATCGAAGGATCAGCAATGGAACTGTAATGGATGTGATGTGATGCAGCTGAGATCGACGAAAGTGGGTTGATATATGTACACTCATTTCACAATGAGACGTTGTCAGATCGATCCCACGTTGACTGACACATTCTCTCTTCACCCCACGAACATCTTCACATCTTGACTTGACTGTTGGCCGACATATCCTCGGCCGGCGATTTACCCACATCCCGCGGCCTTTGACACAAAGTCGCGTGTCTAATATCCGATGCCCCGTTCCCTTCTAGACCAAGCCCAGTGGATATTCCCATCAAAACTTTTATATCCGCCAAGAGAACTTCGGGACCCGACGATGTGGAATGACACCCTAAAGAGGAACTCATCCGTCAACCAAGAAGTCTAGTCAATACAAATTACGCTGGACCTCTCACCATTGGACCCCAGCCAAGAGACGGTGGCATGTTATCAATCAGTCCCCTTAACCCAAAGCAGTGTATATCCGCGTCATCCGAACACTATCAGATTTTTTACTAGACAGAAGGATTTTGTGGGAACGTTGCATTTTTGCGGACAGCGCCGATGATTTAGACGATCCCTTCCTTTTGGGGGATTGCATCGGCGGAACCGCAGGCAGCTGTTTAAAAAAACATCCTTGTCGTGGGATTTGACAGAAGGGAAATAAGTCTGTGGATCAGTGGGCTCGGGGTGACTTGACTAACGCCAAGGGTGAGGAGAGGTTGCTAATCAGTGAAACTCTGTGGTTATACGAAAGTTTATTGTTAAAGATCAGAAGTCACTTCAGGTCATGATGCCTCGAGTATAGTAACGCTGGCAGTAGGATAATGTAGAATTGAGTGCCTGTAGAACATAAACCGCCACCTTCATCATCGCCATAAATCCCCGTTGCTGCACGCTATGGACGACACTAATATAGCGCATCAGTAGACTCCCAAACTCGCATGACGCCCCCCTCCACTCCCTATCAGATCCTCCGAAAAGTTCTTCACTCGGCACGTTAAAGTTATCTAATCAATCTTTGTGGATCTACCTCCAATGCTACATAATAAACCTTCCATCCTCCCCCCTCCACCATGCTTTCTCTCGCATGCTTTTTCTCCGTGCATGAACTCCTCTTGAGGCTCAGAATCATCCATCATGTCCTCCTCCCCAGAGAAATCCCCCGACAACGACCACGGCCATGAAGTACCCCCTTCAGCCGCCGACGCCGTCCGGGACATCACGTCCCCCGGTGTCCAGCGCATCAAGGCCATGTCCGAAGTAATCACCCTCGCCGACCGCATCGTCATCTTCTTCGGCGTCTTCCTCATCGCCTACGCCTACGGCCTCGACGGCACCGTGCGCTACGCCTACCAGCCCTCTGCGCTCAACAGCTTCCAGGAACACTCGCTCCAATCGTCTGTGAACACCCTCCGCGCCGTCATCGCTGCTGCTGCGCAGCCCACGGCTGGAAAGATCGCTGATGTGTTTGGTCGTGTGGAGCTTATTTGTATTTCTGTGTTCTTTTATACCATTGGAACTGTCATTGAGGCCGCGGCGACGAATCTGGATACGTATTCTGCTGGTGCGGTTATTTACCAGATTGGATATACCATGATTCTTCTACTCGTGGAAGTCATCATTGGAGATATCACGTCTGTGCGATCGCGTTTGTTCTTCAGTTACATCCCCGCTCTGCCCTTCATCATCAACACATGGGTCAGCGGCGATGTCACAGAAGCAGTCCTTGGAGCTACAACCTGGCGATGGGGAATCGGCATGTGGTGCATCATCTACCCCGTCTGCTCTCTCCCCCTCATCATCAGTCTTCTCGTCGTTGGACGCCGCGCCAAGAAGGCCGGCCACCTCGTCGGCTACCGCTCCTCCTTCCAACAGCTCGGCTTCAACAAACTCACCGTCGAGCTCTTTTGGCTTCTCGACGTCGTCGGCGTAATCCTCCTCATCGCCGTCTTCGCCCTGCTCCTGGTCCCTCTCACCATCGCAGGAGGTTTCGAGAGCAAGTGGTCGGACCCTCAGGTCGTAGCCCCCCTCGTCATCGGCTTCGTCTGCATTCCCGTCTTCGTCGTGTGGGAGCTCCGCGCTCCTCATCCCCTTGTGCCCCTCCAACACATGAAGGACCGCTCCGTCTGGGCACCCATGGGAATCGCATGCATGCTCAACTTTGCATGGTACATGCAGGGCGACTACCTCTACACCGTTCTGCAAGTCTCCTTCAACTTCAGCGTCAAGGCCGCTACACGTGTCACATCCCTCTACTCCTTCGCAAGTGTCATCACCGGCACAATTCTCGGTCTTATCGTGTATAAAGTGCGCCGCTTCAAGGTCTTCATCGTATCAGGAACATGTCTCTTCCTCGTCGCATTCGGTCTCCTCATTCGATACCGCGGCAACCCCAGCTCCGACAACAAATCCGGCGTCATCGGCGCACAGATCCTCCTCGGTATCGCGGGCGGTATGTTTCCCTACCCCGCCCAGGCCTCGCTCCAAGCCTACGTTACCCACGAGCGACTCGCCGTCATGACGGGTCTGTACCTCGCGGTGTACCAGATCGGCTCGGCCTGTGGAAATGCCGTCTCCGGCGCCATCTGGACCCAGGTCCTCCCCGTGCGACTTGCCCAGAGCTTCTCCAGCTTTGGAAACGAGACCCTCGCCGTGTACGCCTACACTCAGCCTCTGTCTGCCATTATCGACTTCCCTGTTGGTTCGCCCGAGCGCGATGCCATGATTGATGCGTACAAGCATGTTCAGCGCCTGCTTGTCATCACTGGTATCTGTCTTTGTGTTCCTCTTATCGCGTTCTCGCTGTGCTTGCGTAACCCCAAGCTCACCGACCAGCAGAACTTGGTTGAGGATGAGAAGCCTGGTGCTGCTACTGAGCGATCTTCCGCATCTGCTTAGAAAAGTCAAAAGTATTTAAAAGTTGTATGTAATGTCGTAATATGGTAATTGATCTAGCCTAGGGCTATTTGTTTAATTTTGGTTCAATGAACATTGTGAATTGATCAACCGCTGAAGTTTATTGGTGCTCCTGTGAGGTCATTGTCTTTTCACTATTTGTTGGCGGCCCAATTGAGGTCGTTCTGCATCAAGGTCAATTGTTATGCACAACATAGCCCGCTCAAAGACTTGGTCCGTCTCGAGACTCGATCATCATCAGCTTGTGTATAAACCAGATTCTTCTCATCTTCCGATCGAAGCGGCCGAAGCTGCATTTGACGTCGACAGAAACAGCCTCAACCCCAATCAATCGCCTCTCAGTTAATGCACTGCTACACTCGATTCATTTGACAATGCCTGTCAACAATCCTCAGCTGAAAAAGAGCCAAGAACCGATAAATCCTGTGATATCCAACACGTACCTGCATCTCCCCATCAATCACCAATCATCCCCCCCAAGAATGTCGTCCCGCTGCAAGACACCTCATCTCATCACACTGCAAGGAACAAGCTTATCCTGTCGTCAGCTCTGTCCAACCCACGAAAACATCCCGTCCACACCCATTCATCCCATCTCTTCTCTTGTCTTCGGAGCTTTTATTCCAGGCTCCCATCTCCCCCGTCCATCTTTATCGCATCATTATCGTCTACATGTCATCAAGATATCTCCTCTCCCGCCCTTTTGTCTCCAACCAATCCATTCTCTTCCCCAGCGGGTTATCTCGTATTCTCTGCATGTTGAAAAAACCTCCGAAGATACCGTTTCTCGCACAGCATGTGGTTCGTAAGCCATTGTGACACGTGTTGATAAGGTTCTCATCTAAGAGTACGAGATTCCCCCCCAGCACCTTTAAAATCTCAGCTATTTAAAGGTGGTATCAAGGATGATCCCTTCTCTGTGGCTTGCGATATTGACGGGCCTCAAAAATATCTGGGAATATATTGGTCTCGTCAGCCGATCTTAATCTGGGAGGAGTGCTGTTTCATGCTGTGTTGCCCAAAAGTTAAAATGGCTTGCGCCTCAACTTTGGTGCACTGAGACCTCGAGAAGTCATTGTTCGAGTCTGATACAGTAAAATGGGTATATAAGATATGGCTTTGTCGTTTATGTTGGATCATCAAGTGGCCAGAAGGCATCCGTTCGTTACAGTCATTCGTTTAAACCCCTCATCATGAAGTCATTCACTCTCCTCATCGCCTTTCTGGCAAGTTTCGCCATCGCATCTCAATGGCCATCGCTTTTCAGTCGTGCTCTTGACAAAAGACAGGCTGGACGATGCGGAACGGGCTTTGGAACAGTCTGCGGAGCAAATGAATGCTGTTCCAGCGCTGGGTAAGTCTTCCAACCTTCTTATTTGATCAAGTACTGATGTTTGTAGATGGTGCGGAACTGGCTATCTGTACTGCTCTGCTCCTGCGTGTCAGATCGAGTATGGTCCTGGCTGCGATGCGAATGTCCGTCCAAGGGGCCCTGATACAACGAATGTAGCTCGCCCGAAAGTTGGGAGTATCCCGTATGGTCAAGCTATTTATCGGTGTAACCGCAACGGAGACATTGCGTTAACGTATGATGATGGACCATACACTTACACCGAAGACCTTCTCGATCTCCTCCAGGTATGTCGCCCGCTCAATTTCTTTATCTTTCTAACAATTACAGCGATATAATGCTAAAGCTACATTCTACATCACCGGTCGCAACCTCGGAAAAGGCGCTATTAATGATCCAGATACACCGTGGCCAGGTCTCATTCGACGCATGGTACGAGACGGCCATCAGATTGCCAGTCACACATGGTCGCATCAACGTCTTACAACGTTGAGTCGTTCTAAATTCTGGAACCAGATGATTTACAACGAGATTGCGTTTGCTGATATTCTCGGTTACTTCCCAACCTATATGCGTCCTCCGTACTCTGCCAGCAATTCTACAACTGATGCATGGTTGAATGAGCTCGGGTATCATATCACGTACTTTAACCTGGATACAGAAGGATATCTACACGATAGTCCAAACATGATCAGCACATCCAAGCAAATCTGGGATAATACCGTCGAGGGTAGAAGCCCAGCTACCAACAAATGGCTTCACATCGAGCATGACCCCGTATACCAAACAGTCTACAACCTAACAGAATACATGCTCCGCTCAATCCGCCGCAACAACTTCACCGCCGTAACAGTAGGCCAATGTCTCCAAGACGCCCCGTCAAACTGGTACCGCACCGTCTCATCCTCCCCCTCACCCACATCAACGTCCACATCATCACCTACATTCCCCGCTACTACAAACGGTCGATGCGGCTCACGACACGGCGGCGCGACATGCAGAGGCGAACCCAACGGCGAGACGTGCTGTTCGCAGAACGGCTGGTGCGGCGGGACGAGCGATCACTGCGGGAGGGGATGTCAGCCTGTGTTCGGGACGTGTAGCGACACGCCGGAGCCAGCGGCGCCGGGGAGATGTGGAGCTGCGCATGGGGGCGCGAGGTGTACGGAGAGTGGATGGGGATGTTGTTCGAGGGCGGGATGGTGTGGGAGTACGGGGGATCATTGTGGGACGGGATGTCAGAGTGATTTTGGGACGTGCAATTGATCTGTGATAATTGGGTATATACAGCGTACAGAGAAGTGGTGGAGAGTGGAGGATGTAATATTATTCCCGAGTAAACCCCCGATCTCCATTGATCTACGAATTGACATCAGCTCGGAATGAATTGTGCCGATTCTTGGCTAATGCTCAGAGCGTCTTTTAATTGAGTCGGAGTCAGTCGTGCTAACTGCTAATTTCAGGGGCAAGCCATGCAAGCCACGAGCGTGATGCTTAATTAGTGGCAGCTTGTTGACATTGGCCATTTCCATTTGACAAGGCAGACTCTCCCTCTCTGCTATCCCTTGCCTTTTCAGCTCTCTCACTCTCAAGTGCAGGGTTAAACTCAATGCAGCATCTGTCACTGTCGATACGAATACTACATTCCACGGCAATCGACGCTCAGACTCAACTTGATGTAAATGGACACCCTCCGCACTAAAACGCACGCCAAGTCTTCAGCCCCAAGCTTGGGCGACGTTAATTGGTCAATGCGTACGCTATTCTTTCAGCTCAGGCTTTTGATTGAACGCCATAAACATGCCGTTTACCCCTGAGTGTGCTGTAGGGCTGATTCGTGACTGGATCACGGCACATGGGACCATAACTAATATCACATTGGCGAGACACGGTGAATCCTTCGGGCGGTGGGTGGAAATGAAGTGAGACTAACTAGTTGCTGTGCTAGGGAGGTCGTTTAATGGGGAATATAGACTATTAAAGGATGGCTTGATCCTCTTGTCTTGCTCTGTCTCTCTCTCTCTCTTCCTTATCAACACTCTCTCTATCTCAAGTCTATCTAAGTCTTATCTACAGATACCTCATCCAAAATGCAGTCCATCATCCTCACATCCCTCCTCGCCACCGCCGTGAGCGCCAACTTCATGGCCCACCCCCTCATGAAGCGCGATCTCCTCGCCCCGCGCGCAACCGCCCCAGCCGTCGGCGGCATCACTGTAGAGTGCCAAACCGCCATCCTCGACGTCTACAAGAC